TCTTTCTGTAACTTTGTATCGTCCACCAGGTCCTTACTCTGAATTTTTAGATGAGTTTTCAGAGTTCCTTTCTGATTTGGTGTTGAAAACTGACAGGGTCATCATAGTGGGAGATTTTAACATCCACGCTGACATTGAAGGCGATAGCTTAAGAGCAGCCTTTAATGCTATCTTAGACACTATTGGCTTTGTTCAAAATGTGAATAGTCCCACACATTCTCATCTTCATACTTTGGATTTTTTGCTGACATACGGCATAGAATGTGAAGAAATAACAGTATTTCCCCACAACCCTGTCCTCTCCGACCACTTTATAATAACCTTCAGGATTACTTTAACAGAGTTCTCCTCCCCCAAAAGAAGGTTCTATTTAGCAGATCATTATCAGATTTGAAAGAATCTGCTTCACTTTCTCTCTCCTCTGTTTCTCTGAGCAGTGCTGCAGAGTGAAAAAGCTTAGTTTATTCCCCTTCACAGGTTGATGATTTTGTTGATGATTTTGGGGTTGCTATTTCTCTGCTTACTGCCTTAGACAACGCAGCTCCTTTAAAAATGAAAACCGTTAAAAAAATAGAAAGCTGGCTCCTTGGTTTAATGCAGAGCTGCGCACTTTGAAGCAAAATGCTAAGTAACTGGAGAGAAAATATCGCTCCACAGGCCTACGGGAGTCCTTCCTAGTCTGGAAAAATAGTTTTCTGCTGTATATCTGATCAATTTCAGTTTGTCCACTTTAATGACAAACTGATTTTGGATAATAAAGTAAACAACCTTGGTGTTGTTTTTGATCAGGACCTGTCATTTAAATCCCATATCAAAGAGGTTTCAAGAATTTCCTTCTTTCATCTGAGGAATATTGCAAAAATTAGAAATCTCCTGTCCAGAGATGATGCTGAGAAACTAGTCCATGCATTTGTTACTTCAAGGCTGGTGTATTGAATTTCTAGAATTTAAAATCCTTCTTCTCATATATATATATAAAGCCTTAAATGGCCAAGCTCCATCTTATATCAGAGATATGATTGTTCCTTATGTTCCTAACAGAGCACTTCGCTCTCAATCTGCAGGTTTACTAGTGGTTCCTAGAATTTCTAAAAAATATAATGGGAGGCAGATCTTTTAGTTATCAGGCCTCTCCTGTGGAACCGTTTTAGTCTGTCTACTTTTAAGACTAGACTTAAAGCTTTCCTTTTTGATAAAGCTTATAGTTAGAGTGGCTCAGGTTATCCTGAGCTATCTCTATAGTTATGCTGCTATAGGCTTAGACTTCTGGAGGACATAGGGACCCCCATTTCATCATTCTGCTTCATTCTATCTCTATTCTCCCACTCTGCAGAATCTGTTAGTTCAATCTCTAACGTTCTGCTCTCTCTGCTTTTTCTCATAGTAGCTTTGCCTCGTCTATTTCTGTTTGGCTGTGACTCCATCCTGGAGAGAAATATCAGCTGTGCTGCTGCCATCAACACCCTTGTTTATAGATGCTGGAGATCGGCCTGTTTTCCAGTGTAATCCTGTTTCTCTGGCCGTGACTGGCAGGATGTGCTCTCTTCATCCTCTGACATGGGAGTTGGCTTGGAGCTTGTCTGCCTGGTGGTGTGTTTCCTGGACGGGGCCGCCTTAAATAGCTGCTTTTTGTGTCTCTGCCTCTGTCTCCTTGAACCCCAGTCGGCCTCGGCAGATGGCTGCTCACACTGAGCCTGGTTCTGCTGGAGGTTTCTTCCTGTTAAAAGGGAGTTTTTCCTCTCCACTGTCGCTACAAGCATGCTTAGTGCGAGGGATTGCATTTGAGTCAAGGAGTTGATGCAATCAACTGTTTTTTTCTTAGATAGAAAACTTTAAATCAATTTGACTCTATGATCTGGTTGAACTGTAAAGTGCCTTGAGATGAAATGTGTTGTGAATTGGCACCATATAAATAAACTGAATTCAATAGAATTTGATTACTGCAGTTGTTTAAACACAAAGGTACGATACAAAATAGGAAGATTTCTACTCGAACATGTAGACGTACTTCAAATGAATATTACTGTCCCATATGTTTTCTTGTATAATTTTACATAGTAAAGAAAATATACAAACTAAACCTCTACCTTTTACATATCTAATTTGTGTTTTTTTTGTCATAGATTACCTTGTCTGGTCTCCACATATTAATTCGTCCTTTTCAGGAAATTCAGCAGAACCCTAAAATAAATCTAAACTGGAGACAAAGAGCTGTTTTCATAATAGAATTTCACAGCCGGACTCCACATGTGACTGTGCAAATGTTCTATGGATGGCACACACGCGCCAAGCAGGAGGATTGTCATCCTCGTGAGCATTAATTGTGACTTAGCAGCTTAAGGAAGTCACACTTCCCAGGGTGATCTCCATGTGCTCTGGCAGGATGGAAGGGGCCACCAGCACGCATCAGGAAGTATGTCATCCCACACACTGACTCTTACCCACCTGCCACCTATTGCTAGCACATGTCGGATGCTGTCAGTGGGACACACAGAATTTTGTGGTGGACATAGGGTATAGGTGTGGGGGGTGGGAGGGGGTCTCTTATTTTTAATATAAATTATCTTGCTCCATCTGCAAAGTGTCTCACTTATCTCCTCAAGTCTAGAAAAATTGCACTTTTTTTAAGGAAAAAATTACAAATTTAGGTTTACATTTTTTACTGTGTATCTCTCACACATAGATCCTACGCTTTTTTTTATTTTCTTCTCATCCTAGCAAGAACACAGCTCATCCTCTCTCTCTTCCTCCCCTGCAGGAGTTCGGGGGGTTGGGGGGTGCGCTGCCTATCTTCCGGTAATGAGGCCCGTTACAGGAAGGGGGTTATCTGCAGTAATCAGTATCGATTATCACAGAAGCTGTCTGGATTATCAGTGTTGGGGACAGTAAGAGTTTTCTGTCACTAAGAGACAGTCAGCTGAACAGACTTGGAGGGTGGCGTGCTTTTTGATGGTGGGGGGGTCAAAGTGTTGGAAAGAATTTCTGCTTCCAATGAATGAGCACATTCAACCAGAAACAGTTCCACCTTTTGATGCTGCGATGGTGGTGGCGAAGGCCTTCTGCTCAGGCTAATGATGGAAATGCTTGTGGTTTCTGCAATCTTGCAGAAACACATCCTGATTGGAATAACTTTGCAGGATTGCTCTATTTAGGGTTCTCATAAACCCATGATGTCTTATATTTCAAACAATCCATTTGTCTCTATCATTTATTTTTAAAATCCTCTGTCTTTAGAAATCAGACCGTTCTTTGCCCTCCTGACTTCACTCTGGCGGCCTACAGGGAAAATGGCTTCCCCTTGTGGCTCTTGGCAATTTGAGTGAGGAATATGTTGGATCATGCATCCCCACTTGGATACACAAAGCAGCTCTTAGTTAGATCCACATGAACTCTATTACTATTTATTACCTCATTGTCCACAATGAACATGTCAGGCATGTGTTGCAGACTGAGGGCAAACTGGGGGATGGACTGAAGTCAGGATGGTGTGAAATAGTGAACAAAAAGAGAGTTTCTGTTGTTGTTAACATTACCAGAAGACTGGTATTCATTTTCTATTTAATTTACAGTCACACAGCAGTTTGTTTTTCTTCAATAATCTATGTTGGATCAGCATTTTACACAATACCTTTTTATAACAGAGAAGAGAAACTCATCTATGTCAGAGGGAGCCACATTGCGAAATCCAAACTAAGAGCAATCCTGCTAGTTTCAGTTCATTTCATAAATCCCACAACTAAGGCAGCAGAAGACAAGCAGCCAGCCTTTAACCGGGAGTTTCAGGTTTGTATTCAATCCTGTGGAGAGTTACTGGATAATCTCATTAGGATTTTTTTTTTTTTTTTCAACTAAGCAAAGTTCAGGAATGAGAAGTGAAAATTCAAATCAGGCTAACAGAAACCATTGCTGGATAAATGAGAGCAAAAAGTAGCCCCAAAGGATCCTGGGTTTTAATGCAGTTGGGTCTTCCTCCTGCATGCATAAATAACACTTATATTTACTCAACAACTTCCCCCTGTGAGTCAGAAAAAAATATTATTTTATGTTGTCAATTTTTTATAGACATTGATGTTTTTACTTTTAAATAAAGGCAGGCTTTGGACTCAAATGATTCCTTTCCATGTGGGAAATAGTTTTTAGTTTGGTAGCTTTGTGGGAAACCTTCTTAAGCTTAATCAGGGCAGTCTAGCCGGTCTGTCCAGTCTTTATTCTTGGCACGTATACACTTTGGGTTGCAAAGCAGACAGGTATATGGTGGCTTTAGATGGAAACAATTCTGTTCATGCTGCAGGATTCTGCTTTGTCCCTGTAAATGTATAAAACACTGCACAGAATATCAAATTCTTTAATAAATATATGAAAAAAACATCAAAGGTAAAAAGCAGAACTTTATAATTGGTTTATGTTTTCTTGTTAAATCAAATTTGCAGCCAGACAAAGTCATGAAAGTGTTTGTGTCAGAGACTCAACATAAGGTACTTTCAATTTTAGACAAACATAAAAAAAAAAATCCCAAGAACTTCTGTTATGTGTCCTGTAAGACAACCATTTCAAAGAAGTGAAATTAGCCGCAGCTAGTTTGGGTAGCAGTGATGATGTGGTTCCTTAATGTGAAACAAGGGATGTTTCTACAAAGCTGTAGAAAACTTTTATACATGTTGCTTTGTAAAATTTGTTGACCTTGTACACTTCACTAACGTCTCATTTTCCTCTTTTTCTCTGTTTCATCCATCCCGTCCTCCTCCACAGGTCATGGAGAGCACTTGTCCTTGTTGAAGTACCGTCTCAAAAGCAGCCAGTACATCATTGGCGGTAGAGAGGTGCACAGTCTTTGTCTGCTGGTAGTCATGTGTGAAGCTCTGGTCTGATGTCCACCCTTACCTCAGTGCTGGCCATGGACGGGGAGAATTACCTGCATCCAGAAGGCCCTCAGCTGAACAGCAGCCTTTTCTCGGTGGACCCCTCAAACATGGAGGCAAGTGCATTAAAGCTGTCAGGATCTTATCGCTGAACAGCAGAATTAGAAAATCAAGAAATCTGTAAAGTATTTCCTTAAAAACACAAATTCAAATTCACAAATAATATTTAAAAAATAAAGAGAGATGAAATGAGGTGCATTTCAAGACATCGCCCAGAACATTTAGGTCTTTAAATGTTTCACAAGGACAAAGATCACCTTAAAAAACACCAAATTTGTTTCAAAGTAGCTTCAATAAAACAGAATGTTTTAATGTGGCGCTGATCACAGTCCCTTAAAAAAAACTTGTAGGATGAGGTAAAAGTTAACAAGGCTTCCTATCAGTTACAATTAGAAGATCTGTAGGAGAAATGGTTCCAAAATCCTGCCAACTATTGTGAGAAGCTCTTAGATGGATGTCTAAGATGTTTGAACTAGTGCTGAAACAATTAATTAGATTAATCAATTTAAAATAATCATCAACTAATTTAGTAATCGATAATGGTTAAGTGGAGTACAGAGACTCTAAAATATGCCTTCAGCTGACAGAGTGGCCTACGTAGAGTAGTAATTAAACCAAAATGATTAAAAAATATATATATAAACTTTTTACATGTAAGAGAAAAAAAAAATGTTTTCGTTTGTCAATATGCTCTATGCAGAATGCCACAAGTAGAAAAGTTTTTAAATACAGTATAAAACACAACATTGCCAAATAAAAGAACCGGAATGTTTGTTTATAAGTTTTACTGAAGATTAAAAAGATCCTAAATTTATTTTTCAATAAGAAAAAAGATTTAATCCTTACTGGTCAAAAGAAACTTTAGTTTGATTCATTCAATTCAATTCATAAATACTCTATTTTCCAAAGGAAAATTAAATTATTATTATTATGTAAGAAAATAAAAGAAGTTTTTTTTATGATATGTATGGAAACATCTAGTGTCAGTTGTAAGTTTGTGCCTATGCATAGTTTATTATAATAGATTTACTGAGGGATACATCAATTTCTTAACTAAAACTAACATAGAGGTTTTTTTTTTATAGATATGTTAATTTTTGGTTTCATAACAACAACAAAACATAACAAAGAACAGAACAAAAGCTCAGCAGTGCAGTCTAAAGGAGACAAAAAAAGATCAAAATAAAAAAGGGGGCATGCATACTACCATCATGATATAGTCCACATTAGGGTTGTCAAAAGTATCGATACTCAAAAAAGTATTGATACTGAAACGTTGTATCCGGATACAATAGTC